CCCGCAGGCGGAGATCGAGCGGGTGAGGAAGGCGCTGCCCTGCTAACAGCGGGGGTGCCCCCCCCTCCGGGCTGGTGGGTGGAACAGGGTGCTGGTGCTGTGCCCTGTGCCCCCCCAGCCCAGTTCTGCACCCATTGGGCAGGAACCCTCACCCCACACCTGGGCTTCGTGGTGTGGTGCAGCCCCGAGAGGGGGCAACCACCCTGGGCTTATAGATATTGTTTAAAATAAACTATTTTGGGTACGGAGCGCTGCTGGGCTGTGTGGGGGCTGCAGGGGACAGAGCTTGGGGCTCCACTCGGCTGGGTCCCTGGGGGCAGGGCTGGTCCTGCTGGGCACAGGGGGTCCCATCGTGGCACAGGGGGTCCCCCCAGGGCTGGGTCACTGCAGAGTCCCTGGCAGGAGCCTGTGCTGCTCAGCCCCAGATGGCTGGAGCAGAAGTGCCAGGCATCACGGGCAGGAGCAGAGGCTCTGCCAGCCTGTCCTGGGGGTGGCCCAGTGCCCCCCACCATCCCCTGCGCCTCGTCCAGCCTGGGACACAGAGCCAGGGCCTGCAGCGGGGCTGGGGCAGCGCCGCCTCCCCCTCCTCCTCCTCCTCTTCCTCCAGCCCCCGCACCATTTCCCAGCCCAGCCCCGGAACATCCTGGCCTCCAGCCACCAGAGAACATCTGGAAAACATCTGGATCCTGCCGGCGCTGGCGGCGCTGGGGGGACCGGCCTGGGAAGGAGCTATTTTTATAAAGCTGCTGGGGAGGGGGTGGGGAGGGGGCGGCGGGGCCCCCGCACCCCCCGGGGCAGGGAGCGTGGGCAGGACGTGGCCCAGCCCTGTGGGGAGCAGCCCCACGTCCCCGGGGAGCACCGTCCACCCCACGGCCCAGAGGGAAACATCCGCCCTGGCCCCGCCGGGAGGGCCATGGGTCAGGGCCGGGCGGTGCCGGAAAGGATCTGGCTAATTTTAGAGGGGCCGGGGGGAGGGAATTGGCCTGGGTCCCCCCCCCAGCACCGCTCATCCGGCTGCTGCGGCTGCCCCGTCCCACAGGGCCCCCCCTCAGCGAGCAGAGACCCCCAGGCCGGGCTGCAGCAGTGAGTAACAGCACCATGTTTGGGGGGCAGGACCCCACAGCTTACACGGGACGTACAGCCCGACCGCGACACCCTCCCCTCGGGGGCCTCCCCCCGGTGCCAACGCCGAGCCGAGGGGGCAGCGTCTGTCCTGTCCTCGTCCTTGTCCCCGTGGGGTGCCCGGCTGGTGCCAGCGCTCAGTCGTACCAACGGCTCAAAGTGCATCATGTCCCGCATTGGCGGGGGCCAGTCTGGCCTTAGGGGGTGTCCCTGGCACCGGGTCTGGCTGGCAGCAGTTCAGGGGTGCTCTGGGGCAGCCCCTCCAACCTGGGGGGGGGCAGTGAGCAGCCCCCCCAGCCCTGTTCTCCCACCTCCTGGCCCCAGGCTGCTCCCGGGGGTGGCGCGGTGTCGGCCGGGGGGAGCTGGGCAGGGTGAGGGGCTCAGTAGTAGTGGACGCGGCCCAGGGTGCCGGTGCCGGTGCCCAGGATGTCGGGCTGCCCGTTGCGCCAGATCTCGCGGATGATGCGCTCGCGCTCCTCCAGCCGCTGCGCCCGCTCCAGCTCCTCCGCCGAGGCGAAGACGTTGACGGCCAGAGCCCCGTCCCCGGGGCCGTGCGGCTCCAGGGGGATCTCGGTCACCGGCAGCAGCGACTCGGACGCCGCGCGGTCGACGGTGTCCTCCTCTTCTTCGTCCTCGTCCTCATCGTCCTCCTCTTCATCCTCACTGAAGTCCCGTGGCCGGGCCGGGGGGCGCGGGGGGGGCCGGCAGGAGAGGCGCAGCACCAGCAGGCACAGGGTGAGCACCAGCCCGAAGCAGACGCCCAGCACGAAGTAGAGCCCGAAGCTCTCGGGGTTGGCTGTGGGGAGAGCAGAGGGGCTCAGGGACCAGCCCAAAACCACCCTGGGGCCTGCAATGGCCCTTGGGGACCCCCCCAAAAGGACATGTCCCCGCGGGCTCACCTCGGATGTGTGCGTAGGCGGCCATGCTGTTGCTCAGCAGCTCCATGTCCCGCTTGCGGCTCTCCATCCTCTGCCCTCACTCAGTGTCTCCAGGGGTGGCACGTGCTCGGCATCTGGGGGACACAGGGGCTGAGCGAGGTGCTGCTGGGCACCCCCCCCACCTCTGTCCCCTCCATGGCTGTGCCCTGGTGTGACCGTGCCCCAAAGGGCTCCCCGATGCTCCATCCAGGGCTGAACCCCCCCCAAGTGCCAACCCGGAGCCATCCCTCTCTCACCACCCTCTGGCCTTCCTGCGGGACCAGGATGGACACGGCTCCTCCAGGGCACGGTGACAAGTGGCTCCGTGACACCGGACCAGGCTTTCCCTGGGCACGGGCACAGGACACGGGGACAGGACGTGGGGGGGAGGATCTGGGGTCCCAGCACCCCCCAGCAGGGACACACGGGAGTTTGTGCTGCCTTGCACACTCACGTGCACACCAAACACACACGTGTGTCCCCCACACGGGATGCAGGACACTAACCACCATGCTCTGGCCGGGGTCTCCCCTCACCCCCTGCCCCCCAGGCTGTGTGGGGCTGGCCGTGAGGCAGCGTGTGCCCCCCCCTCGTCCTGCTGCTCCCAGCCCGGCCGTTTGCCGTGGGGGCAAGGACCGGCCGCGGTGCAAAGGCCAGCGGGTTGGCAAGCAGAGGGAACAGCGCTGAGCTGGGGGTGGGACAGGGTGAGGGGCCAGCGGTGGCCCTGGGTGCAAGAGAAGAAGCCACCTGCCCCATAGCTCCCACGGGAACCTGCCCTGGAGCTGGGGAGGGGACGTGGGTGCCCCCTCCGTGACACCCCACGGGGATGGGTGGCTGAGCTCTGTGATGGGGTGAGCCCCCCACCTCCTCCTGCCCAGGGACCCACCTCCCCAAGCAGTGAGCACCAGCCCTGGCAGTGCCCCCAACGCCGGTGTGGGGCTGGGACCCCCCCCCTCAGCTGTGGGGCACTCCCAAGGTGTGGGGCAGGAGGCGACGCAGCGCCCGGCCCTGGCGAGGGACGAGCTCATTTCCCAGAAACGTCTCCACGGAGGGAGGAATGAGGAAAGAAATGCAGAAAATGTGACACATCAGCAGAACCGTCCCCGGACAGTCCGGTGCTGCACGTCCCGCGGCTGGGCAGCCCCTCGCGGGGGGACACCCCAAAATTCAGCCAGCAGAGACCCCCCCCAAGAGGCTCCTGGTGCCCTCCCCATGGAGCAGCCCCACCGCCAGCCTGCAATGGGGCTGGCTGGGGGGTGCACGGCCCCGCCGTGGGGCTGGAGGGCAGAGCCCCACCATGAGGCAACAGTGACCCCAGAACCCCACCAGTGACGGGGTGAGGGCACCCCAGGGCTGGCCCAGGGACACGGGGGTGCTCAGCACCCACAGATGGGTGTCGTGGTCCGTGGCAGCGTGGGGGTCCTGGGCGGCAGCGGGCACAGGGTGTGAGCAGCACAGCCCCAGAGTGCTCAACTCTGAGTCCCCAAACACCGAGCCCTGTGTCCCCAAGCACTAAGATCCATGTCCCCAAGCCCTAAGATCTGTGTCCCCAAGCACTAAGATCTGTGTCCCCAGCCCCGAGTCCCCAAGTCCCCATCCCTCCATCCTCAGCCGCTGTGTCCCCAAGCTCTGCATCCCCCAGACACCCAGCCCTGCGCCCTCAAACCCCACGTCCCCAGGCACCGAGCCCCACATCTCTGAGCCCCACATCCTCACGCCCAAAGCTGGAGCTCCTCGCACAGGGGACGGGGGGCAGATCCGTGCCACCCCGTCCATTGGGGCTGGATGGATGCGGGGTGTTGGGGTCTCTTGGGGTGCCCCATCCGCCCCACTGTCCCCTGTTGCCCGGAGCCCCGTGTTGGTGGCCAGGGGGGCTGGTACTCACCGGGATGGCGGTGGCCCCCGAGCGGGGCGGGAAGGCGAGCGGCGGCAGGAGCCCACTGCACTTTGGCTGGAGAGAGGGAAGAGAGAGAAAGGTCTGTTTAGCATTAACGCTGCAGCAACAGGAAATAGTTTGGAGGCGGCTGGCGGTCAGCGCTCCCCGCCGGAGCCAATGGCAGCCCCGGCCCGACACCGAGCGGGGCGCGGGGCCGGGGCTCGTCCCGCTCCCCTGGGACGCTGGGCTCAGCCCTGCACAGGGCACAGCCCCAGAGTGCTCAGCCCTGAGTCCCCAAACACCAAGCCCTGTGTCCCCAAGCACTGAGATCCGTGTCCCCAAGCACTAAGATCCGTGTCCCCAGCCCTGAGTCCCCAAGTCCCCATCCCTCCATCCTCGGCCGCTGCGTCCCCAAGCTCTGCATCCCCCAGACACCCAGCCCTGCGCCCTCAAACCCCACGTCCCCAGGCACCGAGCCCCACATCTCTGAGCCCCACATCCTCACGCCCAAAGCTGGAGCTCCTTGCGCAGGGGACGGGGGGCAGATCCGTGCCACCCCGTCCATTGGGGCTGGCTGGATGCGGGGTGTTGGGGTCTCTTGGGGTGCCCCATCCGCCCCACTGTCCCCTGTTGCCCGGAGCCCCGTGTTGGTGGCCAGGGGGGCTGGTACTCACCGGGATGGCGGTGGCCCCCGAGCGGGGCGGGAAGGCGAGCGGCGGCAGGAGCCCACTGCACTTTGGCTGGAGAGAGGGAAGAGAGAGAAAGGTCTGTTTAGCATTAACGCTGCAGCAACAGGAAATAGTTTGGAGGCGGCTGGCGGTCAGCGCTCCCCGCCGGAGCCAATGGCAGCCCCGGCCCGACACCGAGCGGGGCGCGGGGCCGGGGCTCGTCCCGCTCCCCTGGGACGCTGGGCTCAGCCCTGACGCGGAGCCGCCCTGGGGCAGGAGCAGGATCGGGCCCGGCCCCTCCCTGGGCCCCGGTGGGGCTGGGGGGGGCCGGATCCCAGCCGAGCACCCCGGGGCCTCGGCTGGTCGAAGCCCCACATGTTGTTCCGCAGCCCCATGAGGATGGGATGGGATGGGACGGGTGTGCAGGGGTTCCTGGGCAGCCCCAGCCCCACAGCGTGGGGACAGGCAGGGTCCTGCCCCACTCCTGGCGACCCTGTTGTCCCCAGCAGGGACAGAGCAGCCCAGGCTGTGGGGCAGCCCCACTGCCACCCACCCACCCACAGCACATGCTGGGCTCTGCCAGCCCTGGACACGCTGGGACTGGACACATGGGACACGAGGCTCTGCATCCCACCCCTGTCCCCAGTGGCCCCCAGTCCCCCCCACACCCCTCTCCGAGCCCAGCAGCCCCAGAGACCCCCCCAATCTCATTT